CTATTTAGAAAACAATATAGGAAAAAGATAAAATGTATTTATTACATGTTGATTATAAAAGAAAGTCAATATTTACCTCATTAGTATTAGAATCACTTATTTATTTTTTTTTTTGGAAAAAAAAACCAACAATCTATCCATACAATGGATACAATATATATAAATTGTCCTTTTTAGTTATAACCATATTTTACACACACAATGATCATAAATAGGCTAATGTTCATTTAAAAAAAACTAAAAAGAATTAAAATGCTGGTTTGCTGTAACTATAGGTGATCTCTTTTTAAATATTTTTGCATTTCCACATAATCTTTAATAACCACTGCCTTTTGTAAGTTGCGGAGAGGGGGAATCTTTATTTGCAACAAACAACAAAGTATTGAACTCCCAGGGCTATAATTWAAAATTCCTTAGCTTACAATTCAAAGATCTCACTCACATCGTCCCCAATATATCTTCCTTTTCCCTACAGAAGTGAAATAAGTACTCCCTCCTTCCGGAAACACGATGTCCTCTATTTTCAGATACCTCCAGCTCCTGCTTTTCACTCTCCACTCCAGCAGTTTCCTCTACTCAGTCCCTTCCTTCTCATCCCCCTTAACAGTTAAATGTTAATGTCCCGCAGGACTCTAACCAGGCCTATACCCGGGGCTACTAGAACCCCACCCGCCCACCAGGACTAGAGCACATCCTCTAAGGTCTCTACCACTCTCTGGGGACTCCGAGACACCTCCAGCCTGAGAGTGCAAAGTGGGTAAAAGACTGAGAGAAGCCCGCAGTCTTCCCTGGACAGGCGCTGAGACCGCCAAGCAAGAGACAAGGCTGGAAAGGGACTGGAAAGGTACTTGGCAAGGGCCCCACGCGCGACCGAGACTAGGGAATGAAGAACATCCTGGGCCCCCTCCGCTAGCCCAGGGCAGGGGGCGTCCTGCGCATCGGCCCCGCCAGCTCAGAGAGAGACGTCCCAGCGAGCCTGCGAGGCCCACACAGACAGCTGCGCGGCGCCGGCAGCAGCGGCGCGGACAGTGTGAGAAAGCTAGAATCACTTATACAAGAAAATAATTTATACAAGATTATGCAAGAAAAATTATTTGTGTTTCAGTGAATAGTGTTTCTTATTCAAGGAGCTAAATGGTGATCCTGATGAGCTGGCAGAGGACAGTGCTGATGTCCTGCATTCCCTGCCAGTGCTGGTCAAAGATTCTGCCAGTGTTCTTTAAGGAGACCTGACCTGCACTTTGTTACTGCTTCCACACCCTCCTCCCCAAATGGAGGGCAAAGGGCAACCTTGGGAGGGAGAATGCTAAGGTCAGGGTGAGATAAGCTTTCTAGCCATATAATTGAGGCAACTGAGAGTCCAAGGTCCCTTTCAGGATCTTGCTCACTTGAGTTACCTGGGGCAGGGGGTTGGGCTGGGCTGGAGATGTGGTGGTGGGAGGCAGTCTCCTGACACATCTAGCCTCTCCCTCATCTAGGAAGTTACTAGATTGATGTTACCAGAAGCAGGGCTCATGGCTTTATCTCTGCAGTTGTGATAATGAGATGGCATAAGTAAAATTTATGTAGTACAGTTCTTGATAGGGATTCAATGTAATTTTGTTTTCTTTTTTTGTAAGATTTCCCTGACATCTCTAGGCCTTGGGGAGTCTGCCCTTGGGGCAGGAATTGGTGGTGGCATTGTGGGGTGGTGGTAGCATTTCACGTCTAAGTGGGGTTGTTCTGCATTGTTCCAGGAAAATTGTGGGTACCTTCTTTTTGCTGTTCTGCTCTGCTGCCTTCTTCCTGGTAAAGGGAGCGATGTCCAGAGGGCAGGACACACTCTGCCCAGGCTCCTTTTTCAAGCTTTCACTTTAGATGTTAGAAGGAGGCAGAGAGGGGTTGCTCCTCTGACTGGAAGGGCTTAGTGGGAGCCCCAGTGTCAGAGACTCTGCAGAGATCAGTCAACTTATATCCGGATCTGCTTTTTCCCCATTTCCTGGGGACCAAGTACTTATGGAAAATTAGAAATTTGGGCCCCCAGCATTGGACTCAGAAACAGAAGATTGGGCTCGGAGAGCAGTTTGGGGCAGGTGCAAATTCTGAGGACAGATTTGGGGTCTGGTGGGGTCCTTGTGACTCTGACCTATCTCCAGCTGCTGTGTTTAGAGATGCTCCAGGAAGTCATAGCCTTTCGTAGGTGGGAGAAAAGAGAAGCCGGTAAGTTAGTTTTGAAGACATCTGTGACCTAAGAGGAGGAAACCAGGGAGTAGCTGGTGGCAGGAAGGAGCAGAGAATAAGGTGGTGAGAGAGGCAGTGGTGGATGGGTAGGTGGGACCATTTTGATCTAGGAAGACCCAGGAGAAACTTAATCAGAGTTGTTCCTTTATTCATTTGTTTTAATGATATTTCTGTAACATTTTCTTGGACCAGGCCCTGTTCTAATTACATGTTGTGACTATAAATTAACATCATTTTCATTACAAACTTGAGGGATAGATGTGAGTATGCCCATCATACAGATAAAGAAACTGAGGCCAAGAAGGTCATGTTGAGTGGGTGAGCCTGGAGGGCAGCCTAGAAGTTGGCTCCCGGAATTTGTTCTTCCCAATACTGCAGACTGCAGACTGCCTTCTGCCTTCCCCTTCCAAACAGTAGGTGATTTGGGGTCTTTTCTCTGACCAGGGCTCATTAGCTCTATGCTCTGTCTCCAGGAAGGGTCCCTTACCTCTCAGGAAGAAAACTTTCTTAAAGAAAATGAAGGAAAGGACAAACCTGTTGGTGGGGATGTGTACAGCCAATGAGCTCACAGTGGAAGGGACTGGGCTGAGATTCAGGTTTAGGTGAACTCCACATCTAAAGAAGCAGGACAGGGTTCTGGGCTCCTGTGATGGGCACCACATCCTCCTTGAGGATGTGCCTGTCAATGACACTGCCCAGGTCAAATCTGGGCATAACTAGGGGGCAGAACAAGAGGGAAGCAGGAGCTGGATGTCCTTCCTGATGGGGACCCTGAATCTGGGCCCTCCTTTTTGGAGGTCATGAGTGGTGTGTGAAATAACAGAGAGCTAGAGGGATGGTTTCCATCACAGAGCTCCAGGTATGGGGAATGGAAGAGCCTGATGTTCTGGGATGAGTAGAGCTGCCCTGTGGTTGGGGTGGGAAAGAAAGGAACAGTTTCTTACCAGGTGACTCTAATAGTTTCCTGATACCACAGTCTTCCCAGAAGACCTGAAAATATCCTAGGCTCAGCTGTTTGTCAGTGTCAGGATTGTGGGGGTCCCACCACCCTGTTAGTATGATGAGTCAACAGGAAATGCTTTGCTGCAGCAGGGAACTGCTGTCCAGCCCTGGGCCCTGCTCTCTATGCTGAGGTGCTGGAGCTCTGGGCTGGACCTGCCTTCTGCCTGCAGGTCTTGGCCCTCATCCCCATCTCTCTCCCTAGCTCTAAAGATATGGATGGGTGCTGAGTTGCTCCTTGCTCTGCTGTCTCACTTCCCTGCTTCTCCATGTCCAGCTGTCCATGGGTGAGTGTCCCCATCTGTATTCCTTTGTAGTTTTAAAAATCCAGATATAAAAACATTTGAAAATACATTTTCTCTCATTTTTTGTTTTCTTGCCTTTTTGGTGCTGCAAGCATTCATTTATTCATTTCATTCCTGAAATATCAATGAATTATTGATTGTTAGGTGCAATTGTATGATAGAATCAGACAGAAATTCTGTCATAAAGTTTACCTTCTAGCAGGAGAGAGTGAGTGATAACTGCAAGTAGGCAGAGAGACCTAAATGTGTTGGAGGAGAATACGATGATGGGAAATGCAGCAGGGCAGGGTGTGGACAGTCAGGGGCATGGGAGGCAGGTATGGGCAGGCAGCAGTGTTCAGTGAGGTGGTGTGTAGATGGAACATAACTCTGGAGAAGGAGAAGTGAGCTGTAGGACCATTTGGAAGGCGGGTTCCTGCAGGGGGAGGAGCCTGTGCAGAGCTGGCAGTGTGCTGAGGTGTGAGGAAGCACAGAGGCCAGGGTTGTTGGACTAGAGATCATGGGGAGAGAAGCAGCAGGTGAGTTCAGAGGGGTCTTGGGAAGGGGGTCCACCTTTTCAGGCCTGGGGAGAAGTAGGGAGCATGTGTAGGCTTGGAGCAGAGTAGCAACATGGATCAACTCACATGTTAAAAGGATCACTGAAGTCAGGAATCCTAGTCATCCTCCAGTTGAGTTTTAATGGTGGCTGAGACCAGAGTTGGGCAGCACAGTGTTTGAGAGTAGCTCTTTGGGGGCCCATTGCAGTGTGTCCTGCATAGGAGTCATGTGGTAGTCTCAGAAGCCCAAGAGTCCCAAGGGGGTGGAGGATGAGATGAACTTGCTTCTTGAACATGCAGTGATGGGGGTTTCCAGGTGATGAGAGCAGGATATTCATTGCAGTAAGTAGCATTCGACTCTGTGTTTAAAGTGCATATTTATTTCTCTCCTCCATCAGTAGAGGAGAAAAATATAGACTGAAGTAAAAACTTTAGAATAGGAAGAGGGGAACTTCCTGGGTGTGGCTGAATGACCAAAGAGTGCTGATCTAGGCCGTGTGTGTGCTCTTTGTCAGTTTTCAGGTTTGTCCTGAGATAAGGGTTACTTAGACCTGGGTTTCCCATTGTGTGCTCCCCAGACCACCCTTGGAACTCCTTGTACATTTACATTTGTTGGCTCACCCCAGATCTAGTTAATGAGACACTCTGGAGTGGGGTCCAGTGATGTGTGTTCTGTAAGGCATCCTAGTGGTTCAGGAACATGAAAGTGTGAAGATCACTGAATTAGAGAATACTTCATGAAAGGGCCTGGAACCAGGAGCAGAAGACAACGAGGGAGTGTCTTTGAAATCATTTATGGCCACATCATTATGATCAGAAGAACCTCTTCCAAATCTATCAGACTTCAGGGGACATCTCATGTGGTCCCTGCCCCAGCTTTCCTGGGCTTTTAACCTGATGGTGTGTGTTCTCTGTTTTTATGTCTGTGTCTTGTCCCCCTATGTCTCTGTCCACAGAGAAGTTCCAGGTTGTTGGCCCTTGACACTCCACTGTGGCATTACTGGGTGAGGATGCCATACTGCCCTGTGCCCTAGTCCCAGCCATGAATGCAGAGAACATGGAACTGGGGTGGTTCCGCTCCACATTCTCACAAACAGTGTTCATCTACTGGAACCAACAGGAACAGACTGAGGAGCAGATGGCTGAGTACACAGGAAGAACCTCACTGGTGAGGGGCTGCCTTACTGAGGGGCAGGCTTCCGTGCACATCCACAATGTTCAGGTTTCTGACAATGGAATGTACACCTGCTTCTTCAGACATGGAGGCTTCTATGAAGAGGCTGATTTGGAAGTGAAGGTGGCAGGTTAGTTACTTGACTTCTTATCTAGAGATCTTGGGAGTACTGGGTTTGGTGGGAATATCAGGGATCATCTAATTTAGCCTCACATTTTATAGGTTAAATAGAGCAAAAAGTGGCTCATCTTTTATTTATTGATTTAATATAAACACTGACATATACAGTGTGGCATCTAAAATATATGGGGGCTTGTTCTGTGCACCAGAGATATATTAGTGTAGCAGAGATACCAGGAGTGAGGAGTTTACCTTCTAGAGAAAAAGGAAGAAAAATTATAATAAATAATGAAGTACAACATGTGATAAGGTGATAAGTACTTGAGATAAAAAAACAAGTAGAATTAATAAATGGGCTCAGGATGTGGGTTGGGAAGTTGGGACAAGCTGCAGTGTTACATAGGGGCTCAGGCAGAGCCTTATTGAAAGTCTGAGCAAGACTAAAAAGAAGTTGGTATTTAGTCAGGTGGATATCTGTGTGTGTGTGGGGGGCAGAGTTTAATGCAGAGGGAGCACGTGGTATGAAACCTTTGAAGTAGGAGAATGGTTGATTATTCTGTATATACTGACGCCATCATGGTTGGTAGGAGGAGTGAGGGGGAGGATGGTAAGAAAAGGCAATACTGGAATAAAGAGATGGTCCTGTATTAATGCCACTCACAGGTGTCAAGATGAGGTCATTAGGAGTGGACACCTGGGCTGGCACAAGAGCCCTGGATGTTGATGGGCTGGAAGGTGAAAAGGCAGAGGGCAGACAACATGGTGATTGTGGCTACTTGCATTTGAACATATAGTTCTTGGGGTTGAGTACGTGGGCCCCAAGTGTCTCAGATGGTGGAGTTTGTGGAGAAGTGTTGGGGAGGAAAGTAGATACCAGGTGAGTAAAGGCTCTGTGTGCTGTGTTATGGAGTTTGGATGCAGAGTAGGGGGAATCCTAAACAGAGCCATGCTGGGAATGCTCATGTTGGCAGCTGTGAATGGATGGATGGGAGGTGAACAAGAAGGAGGCATGGAGTGCAGTTATGATGTGGAGAGAATGAGTGCCTGACCTGAGGCATGGCACTGGGGTGGGGGAGGAGGGGTCAGACAGGTTTAGAAACTAGATTCAACTAAATAGATTTGTGGGCACAGAGTTTGGAAGGGGGAGAGAAGAGTTTAGAGGCTTCCAGGGTTTTATTTGCACCATTTGTTGGTTTGTGGCAGGACACTAGAGAATTATGTGTCATTTCTACTGCTATAATAATTCTGTGTAACAAACAGCCACAATCTCAAGTGTATCTGGCAATAACAATGCATTTAATTCAGGCACTCTTGGAGTTCAACTAATTGGGGCTGAACTTGGTTAATTTCACCTGGGTTTACTCATACATCTTTGGATCTTGTTTCAGAAACATAATTAAAAGCAAAATCTCTCATGCTATGAGAAAACACTTTTATTAGTGAATAAGCATGAAATCAGAGTGTGATACATATTATGGTGATATGTGAATGGGTTACACAACCAGAAAGGAATTTTATCTCTAGTTTTAGAATGAAGCATATATAATCTCCTGTATATTGTTTTGAAAATGAAGAATAAGTAATCCTCAACTAAGAGGGCTCAAAGCATTATTGTTCCACATAACTCATCCTAAATTTAACTGGTAGTTTGGGAGACTATCTCTGTCATCTAACAGGCTTTATTGGAAGCAAAATAAATTCCTCCAGCTTTATGATAGGAAGCAGTTTTACAACTTGGAGCAAGAAGCCCACATAAGTTAGGCTCCTATCTTTCCACAGAAAAGGAGGTAAAGGGTTGCTATCTTCCTTGATGTTTACATTTCAAAGAAATGGCTCCCAGATCCTTGAGAAAGGCATTCCTGAGCCACAAAGCTGGCAAAATCCTAGCCAATGTTCAAAATCATGTATAAACATTTCAAAAGAGGAGAAAGTATCTATTTGTAATTGCAATTTCCTAAACCAAATGGCATAATAAAAAGGAATAGATTCTTCTTTTGTTCAACACGCATAATTAAGCTTTTTACTTGTAATTTTTATTTGTTGTTAAGTCAGCTGAAAAGTTCACCAGGTGCACTTCGGTTGGGTGTGGTCAAGTTTCAGGTGTTCATGTGGCTGACCTAGGGCAGCTGTAGCAGGTTGACCGGGCAATGTTGGGTAGCCCAGGACTGTGCTCCTGTGGAAATGACAGAGGGATTAAACCAAGGTGCAAGTGTTTTTCAAACCTCTGCACTAGTCACACATTAGCTAATTTCTCATTGGGCAAATCAAATCCCATGATTGGGCCCAGAGACAGAAGGTAAAGGCAGTAAAAAGTGTGTGGAAGTGGGAGAACTGGCCATAAAGAAGGGTGAGGAATTGGATTATTTTAATAATCATTTTATCACAAGTGGTGCAAATTTATGAATTCAGTTGTGGAGTTTTGAGTTTGAAGCATATGTGAGGAAAACTGGTAAAGATAACTTATAGGGACATGGGTGGAGGGGTAGATAATTCAGAAGACAAGGTGGTCACTCAATATAATTTGAACATGATACACACAGAGAGGCAGATGTCCCAGGAGAGTGTGTGAAGTGAGAAGACTGAGGTCCTTCTCTCTAGGGAGATCCAGGGTCCTAGCCCAGAGAAAGTGACTGAGGAGATCAGAGAGGAGAGCTAGAGTCAGGTGGGTTTGGGTGGGTTTGTAGTTAGAAATTGTAGTAAATAGACAAGTTTTTCTGGGGTTTTATATGCACATAGTCTTTTGTTTCCTTGGAGATGGGGGTTCAAATTGTTTTTCATTTTCTTTCAGATGAACTTCATGCAGACCTCAGTAAGTTCTACTTTTCCTCCTGAATTTTTTATGTTTACTTAGTAGCAGATGTTCTAGTACCTACTCCCCTATTTCCTGTTTTTCAGGTCAGAGGAAAGCTGCTTACATGTCTGGTAGGTGACTTTCCAATATCCCTTGTTTCCTTATCCTACCTGTGTCCTCATGTCCCTTCTCCTTGTCTCTATCTAGGCACAGACATGTGGGTCTCTATTGCTGGGATGCTTATTGGAAGCTGGTGGAAGCCAGAATCCTGCTCCCTGAGCTCTTCTAGATCTGGGCTGCTATTTCCTACCTAGAACTTGGAAAGTTGAGTGTGATGGTGACCCCTTGTCTGTCATGTATTCTGCATCTTATTTCAACCTTGGCTTGCCCACATTATATTGTGTGGGAAGCCATTCATGAATTACTCGAGGGTGTTCTTTAATTTTGGCATCAAGGGAGGTTTTAAGTTTAACCTTGGAAACTATCTGTGGCTCTCTCATGCAATAGATTGCCTAAGACACATAACCTTTGTCTCTGGCCTCCTAGGAAGATACTTCATAGTAGCTGAGTAATTGGACAGCCCACCTATAACCTTTTTTGGTGAAGGGCATTCTATGAAAATCCTTTGATGTTCTCTGATATAAAAAAGGAAATGTGGGGGTCAATTTTGCATTTTTGGTATAGAAGCTTGATCCATATGATCCACTACCCTGTCCCACTCCGATTTCTGAAGCTATTTTCTGTGTCCTGTGGTTTATTTTATCATTTTATTATTCTTAACTTTTATTTTGCAGCCAGCATATTCCACATGGGAACCACATTACCATCACCTGTGTGGGTCTCATGTGAGAATATAGATTTGTAGCCTTCAGTGCATCTAGCTGTTGGTCTGCACCTAGAAGCTTAAAGGCAGATACTAGGAGTTCATTAAATGATCTATATGTACGTGGAGTCATTAAGTTTAGGAGTGTGGCCTTCTTTTCATCTCCCAACAAATCACCATCCAGGGATTATGTTTTCTCCAGCTCCTGAAGTTGCTAATCCAAGTGGGCTGCTCACCACAGGTGGGAATGTGGTGGAGTGAACCAACTTCCTAAAAAGTGGTTCTTATTCTCTAGAAATATTTCACATGTGAAAAGTTGGTCAATTTTACCCCAGAACTCATTTCTGTCTTTAAATCATTCTTCATTTTTGGTAATTCCCCAAATATCCTTTTAATTTTATTTTTTCATCTTGTGGTGTTGATTTGTGAACCTGCAGCCTCTTGCATGCTTGGCAAGTCCTCTACCATGGTCTACATCCCCACCCCTTTCCCAAATATATCTTTGCTAGAAAAAGCCTGGATATAATAATTCCTCTTACAATTGTGGAGTGAATTATATTTTATTCTCTCAAATATTTTCACACAGAGTATAATTTTTATCCTTGGCAGCAAAACTGAATAAATATAGATAGAATATGGATTTTTATGAGTTTTGAGGCAGACAGTTTTCTGACAGAGAGAAAGCAGTGGGACAGTGGCAGAAGTTGGCCTATAAAGCAGTCGCCTTGATCTGTGGTCCAGGGGATTACCCACAACTCCCTGTGGACCCTGCATACTGCAAGAGGCCATCTCCTTTCTGGTCTCTTTCCTCCTGTGGGTAGTCTCATCTTTAGAATGGAGGGGAGGCCAGGGCAGGTACATTCATGCTGAACAGGCTTGTTTTAGCTGTGGTCTCACCACCGTGTGTTCCCTTTCAGCCTGGAGGAAGGCCCCCGTGTATGCAGGTAAGTGACTCTGATGTTTCCTTGGCCTTCCTCCTCCAGGATCCTCCTCTGCCTTCTGTATCAGTGGCCTCCACCCAGGATGGGATGGGTTCTCCTGCTCTCTCTTCTCTAATTTGTTTTCCACCTTCCTAGTAAACACTTTTAATTACTCTTGGGTTTTTTTTTTTCATAGTCCTCACACATTAGTGTGTCCCCTGACCAAACTAATCAAAGCCAAGCAAACAAAAAACCAACATTTTCCTAGAAGGAGAGAAAAATGATTGTAACTTGTTATTAGAAGACCACCGGGACTTCTCTTTGGGATTGGACCACAGAACTCACCTCACATTCCTGTCTTCAAACTATTCTTCATTTTTTAAACTTTTTTTTAGTTATAGGTGTATATAATACCTTTATTTTATTTTTATGTGGTGCTAAAGATCAAACCCAGTGCCTCATGCATAATAGGTGAG